GCCTCCCAAGTAGCTGGGATTACAGGCATGTGCCACCATGCCTGGCTAATTTTGTATTTTTAGTAGAGATGGGGTTTCTCCATGTTGGTCAGGCTAGTCTTGCACTCCTGACCTCAGAAGATCTGCCCGCCTTGGCCTCCCAAAGTGCTGTGATTATAGGCGTGAGCCACCGCACCAGCCAACAATTCTTTTTCTTATTCTTACTTACTTGATTATAAATGAATACCAGTCTTTATTATGAATTTCATCTTTTTTGGCACCTGTGTGATAAATATTTTTGCCCTAGCTTGTTATGTTTTCTCTTAATACTCTGTAAGGTATCTTTTGTCATGGAGTAATTTAAAGGTTTTATATAATCACTGTGCTGATCACCATCCTTGTGCACCCAGAGTGCTGAGCATCTTATAGTGCACCTGAGGGGCCGCCACATTAGGAAGACAAGGTGTCCCCCAATACCTATGGACGTCATCACCCAACAGGGCACTCCAGACACCCACACCATGGGTCATTCAATTGAGAAATATTTGTTTCCTTTTGTCTCTCACTTTCACTTGAATGGAATGGCTAATGTTCCTGACCCCTGATTTCCTATGCCAATCTGAGCAGGTTTCTCATATTTCACCTGTTTAAGAGAAAGAAGAGGCCGGGAACCTCCTCACTCCACTGCTCTGAGTAAATGCCGTAACAGAACACAAGTGACTGGCAAATGTTCAGCATCACTGGACGTTTTAAATGAAGGTTACCACCTACTACTTTGGTCAAACTGGTTACTACATGAAGGCATAAGACACTAGTAAATAAAATGCATATAAGGTATGATTGAGGCATGGAGAACACAGAATCTAGCCCTTCCTATATGAAAACTCCAACAATATTTGTGTAAAGCAGCATTATAGCCTGTTGTGCTATGCCATGTTAGAATATTCTATCTACAAAACAGCCAATGTGGTACATGTCAAAAGTACCCTTTCAAAATTGAGCTTCCAGTACCTTAAAGACAAAAAAATCAGCAGAAAGTTTTCGGAATTGCTTTTTGAGGAAAAGGTTATGTAGGAAAATTGTCACTGCAGTGTTATTTAAAACAATGAAATTCTTAAATCATCTACTTGTCCGTGAGTGGGAAGTAGTCAAAAATAAAAAGAAACATTAATTAAAGGGGAATATGGCATAACCTCAAAAAATGAACATTATTTAGTACCTAATGAATAAATAATAATTAAAAATGAGATACATATGAATACTAATAGTTACGAATGCACATTAGGAAAAGACTGTAAGAAAATAAAAACGGCTAATATGTAAGCAGAGAGGTGGGAGAACTGTTCATTCCCACTAATTTTTCTGCTCTATAAAAGAAATACAGTTGTCTTTCAAAATGCTTGGGGAATTGGTTCAAGGACCCCTGAGGATACCATAATTTGTGATGCTCAAATCTCTTATCTAAAATAGTGTTTGTAGTATAGTCAGCCCTCCACATCCATGGGTTCCACATCTGTAGACTCAACCAACCACAAAAGGAAAAGACATATGGTCAGCCTTACATACACTCAAGTTTCAATCTGCAGTTGGTTGAATCCACAGATGCAAAACTCAAAGATGCATAACCCCTAGATGTGAAACCCACAGATACAGAAGGTCAACTGACTGCAATAATAAAATAAACAACGTCTAAAACCAAAGTCAACTCAAAAGGCAGAGTTGTTCTTGAGTCTTCCTGAGCAAACATGACAATGTGAATAGTGAGATGGAATTTTAACAGCAAGACAGGCAAGCCTTATTCACCTTGAATGTGGTCATTTTTCCTCCTGTTTCTGGGAATTTGCAGAGTCCTGAGTTATGCCATTTGAGAGAAGGCAGAATCGTGCCTGGAACACTATTGAAGACATAAAAAGTCTTTTTAAAGTTTTTTGAAATCAGGAAATAGTCATAGGAGTAACAATAATGAGAAGAATAAGAATGAGCGCGACAGAATATGGCAGGTCACAAGTTTATTATCTCTTTATTTGGAAATTTCCATGGATAAACAGATAAACAGAAAAGCACTGAGAAAAGCAATAATAAAAAGTTTGTGGCCGGGCGCGGTGGCTCAAGCCTGTAATCCCAGCACTTTGGGAGGCCGAGGCGGGTGGATCATGAGGTCAAGAGATCGAGACCAACCTGGTCAACATGGTGAAACCCCGTCTCTACTAAAAATACAAAAAATTAGCTGGGCATGGTGGTGCGTGCCTGTAATCCCAGCTACTCAGGAGGCTGAGGCAGGAGAATTGCTTGAACCCAGGAGGCGGAGGCTGCGGTGAGCCGAGATCGCGCCATTGCACTCCAGCCTGGGTAACATGAGTGAAACTCCGTCTCAAAAAAAAAAAAAAAGTTTGTAAAACATTTACAAGAGTGACATGAAAAGGTGGCCAGGGATGTCCCCACCAACACAGAGGTATATTGTAAATTAGCACATGAATGTTCACAGCAGCATTATTCATAATCCCAAACTGTAAACAACCAAAATGCCCTCCTATGGAAAAATGGATAGACAAATCCTGGCATATCCATACAATGGAATCTTATTTGGAAATTGAGAGGAATGAAGTACTCACTCATGCTACAACTTGCATGAACCTTGGAAACACTATCCTGAGTTGAAGAAGCCAGGCACACAAAACCACAGATTGTATGATTTCATGTATATGAAATGTCCAGAACAGACAAATGTATATAAAGAAAAAGTAGGTTACTTGTTGATGGGGATTTGGGTTAAGAATGGGGATTAACTGTAAATGAGCAATAGGAGTCCAATTGGGGGATGAAAATGATCTAAGCTAAATTATAATGATTACTGCACTTGGCAAAGTTCCTAAAGATGACTGAATTGTACAATTGAAATCGGTGAATTCTATGATAGGTAAAGTCCACCTCAATAAAGTTGGAAAAAAATTATTAATCTACATGTCACTGAATTTAAAAAGACTGAGTCCTGAGTCTATATTGATAGAATATTTACTTTTGAACGAATACATAAGCAAACAGACAAACAGAGGATGCTCTTCTTTACAGTACAATGCGCACTAACAGGTATATCTACCCATAAAAAGTAATTTAATTTTATTATTTATTTATTTGAGATGGAGTTTTGCTCGTGTGGCCCAGGCTGGAGTGAATGGTGCAATCTCAGCTCACTGCAACCTCCTCCTGCCGGGTTCAAGCAATTCTCATGCCTCAGCCACCCAAGTAGCTGGGACTACAGGCGCCCAACACCACATGAGGCTCATTTTTGTATCTTCAGTAGAGACGAGGGTTTTTGCCATGTTGGCCAGGCTGGTCTCGAACTCCTGGACAGTGATCCACCAGCCTCGGCCTCCCTAAATGCTGGGATTACAGGTGTAACCCACCATGCCCGGCCCTCTATACTATTTTGCAGCTTTTCTATAGACTTAAAATTATATAATTACTGTATTAAAGCTTTCAAAAATCAGGAAATAGTCACAGGAGTAACAATAATGATAAGAATAAGAACGAGCATGACAGAATATGGCAAGTCACCAGTTTATTATTTCTTTATTTGGAAATTTCCATGGATAAACAGATAAGCAGAAAAACATTGAGAAAAGTATAGTAAAAAGTTTGTAAAACGTTTATAAGTAAATAAATATAAACATAGAACCACTAAAACAAAATGCATTAGAAATTTAACCATTACTGCCAGGTGCGGTGGCTCACGCCTGTAATCCTAGCACTTTGGGAGGCTGAGGCAGACAGATCACGAGGTCAGGGGATGGAGAACATCCTGGCTAACACAGTGAAACCCCATCTCTACTAAAAATACAAAAATTAGCCAGGTGTGGTGACACATGCCTGCAGTGCCAGGTACTTGGGAGGCTGAGGCAGGAGAATTGCTTGAACACAGGTGGTGGAAGCGGAGGTTGCAGTGAGCCGAGATCGCGCCACTGCACTGCAACATGGGTGACAGAGAGAGACTCCATCTCAGAAAAAAAAAAGTAAAAAAGAAAAGAAAAACAAATTAGCCATTACTACCTTTCCAACCTGGAATCATAGATAATTAAAATTTTCATATCTTCATATTTCTGTAATTTCTGAATGGTCCACAGTGATATGGTTCTATTAGAATGTGAAATATTTTTAATAAATGAAGCAAAATAGTTGACAGTTTTTAAAAATTTCTGAATGGTCCACAGTGATATGGTTCTATTAGAATGTGAAATATTTTTAATAAATGAACCAAAATAGTTGACAGTTTTTAAAAACTCAGAAAACTCCAAGCGGATTAGCCTTGCTCTCAAGGTCCTTCAGTCAAGTTCTAACTTACTTTCTCCACCTGAGTCCAGCTAGTTCCTCTGCCTCAGTGAGAATATATCCAAGAGATGATCAACTCGGGCTCTGACCCTGGGTGCCCAGGTTCCAACCCCAGTACATCTCTTACTATTTGAGTGACTATGGGCAAATAACTGGTACTCCCTGCGTGTCACACTCATCTTTAGAGTGGAAAAAAGCAGTACCTCTCCACAAAGCCACAATGCGGCTTAAACGTATTTAATTGTACACAGCCCCTACAATTGAAGTTAGTAATTAAGGCTTAATTATTATAAATACACTTGCCCTATTACACATGCTACAAAAATACGGTCTCTGTAAAAGAAAAATGACAAGTCACACTCACTCAGGTGGAGCTTTGCCTTCAGGAGCCAAGAAGTCACTCCATTCAGTCCTTTTTCAGGCTGGGGAAGGAGAGAGCTGTGTGTGAAATACCCTCACCCGGTCACTGTCCTCAAGAAAAGTTAAATATTCCCCTCCCTTCGTGGAAGTGGACACAACCCTCGCCTTCCTAAAACGAGGTCAGAAGGCGTCGGGGATCGTCCAGCGTCCTGCAGAGATCAGAGACAAGGGCTTGGGGCCCCTCCTGCTGGAGCTCTGACGCCACCCGGGGACCTGACAGGCTTCGTGGGAAATTAACAAGAGACCACCAGTCACCAAGTGACAGGGACTGATTGTGCTGTGTAACCTATTCCAGTTCCCAAAACGATTCTACAAGGATGGTCCCAAAGTCCCTGTTTTAAAGAACATCAAGGAGAGGCCCAGGGAGATTAAGTAACACCCCAACATTACACTGTAATGAAGTGGCCACGCGCCTGGAGTGCAGGGAGGAGGAGTGCGCGAGCTCAGAGCCCCCCGGAAATCCTGAAACCAGGCGAGATGCGACCCGACCAAGTCCCAATGACCCCGCCCCCGCCCCGCCCCGGGACGCGAGGAGAGCCCCCAGCCCAAAAAGGCCCCGCTGACAGAACAAAAGCCGCCGCCCTCGCCCCTCCAAACCTCTGCTCTTCAACGAGGAATCTTTTCCCATAACCGGACCGCCGGGTCCCGAGACGCCCCAAGCTTAAGTCTCTGACATTAGAAAGGGCCCGCAAAACGCGGAACTGGATCAAACTACCACGGAATGCCCGACGGCAACCGCACCACCCACCGCCCCGCCCAAGCCCTCCCCCAGCGGAAGTGGCTGTGACTCCACTGATCGTCGGGACTACATTTCCCAGAATCCCCGGGACCCGCCCGCAAACGGACCACGACTCCTCTGGGTGTTTGGACTACACTCAGAATGCTGAGGGAAAAACATCCAGAATCTCAACGTTCAGGGGAAAGCGTTGATACTCTGCAGTGCTCCATGACTACGCTTCCCGAAATGCCCGTGGGGAAACGAATCCTATATCCCTGAGCGCCTAGTAGGGCATGTGGACTGTGACCCTGAAAGTCGTCCTTCGTCCTTCACCTTGAGTCCTTGAGTGAAAATACTGAACAGACAGCAATTCCTGAAGTCTAAACGCCTCCCAGGACTACAGGAATGTTATTGGAAAGAGAACAAATGAGGAGATACAATCTTGAAGAAATAAACAGGGAATGTAGGGGCCAGTAGATAATTGAAAGAAGGCTAATGATTACTATAAACTGATAATATGAGGCTAAAACAAAGTTTAAAAAATGAGCAAAGTACAATGGTTTGGGAGAGGCAATGAAGAACAAAGAGGGTGCTGGCGCCTTCTCCAGAAGCTGTGATACCGCTGGTTTGGCCGGCAAAACAATCATCATTTTAGAGGACCAGTGGGGAAGCCCTGTACTCGAGGAAAAGCTATCTTCCTTCATTTACACTTTCATGGTATTCTGTATGCTGAAGAAGTAAAACACCAAATTTCAGAGAAGCTGGTAAATTGCCCAGTATTTCAAAGCAAGTGTAACTGGTGAAGCGTTTGGCATTGGTGTCAGACACCCAATGTCTATGATTTATGCAGTAGCAATGAGGAGGATCCTATACATGAGGGAACGTATTTGAGTTTCTTCCTTTATATTTTTTTGGTTAAAATGCTGTTATTATAGTTAGTAATTTGGAATCTGGCTTATGTTAGTTAATACGAATTAATAATAGAATAAAGCAAAATCAGAAAACAACCCATCTAGAATCCTTCTTGAAGATAACCAGACTTTTTTCTCCCCATAAACATATATTAGCCTACTGATATGGTTTAGATCTGTGTCCCACCCAAATCTCATGTTGAAATGTAATCCCCAATTTATCATCAGGGAGGTTTCTAATGGTTTAGCACCATTCCCTTAGTGCTGTTCTCCTGATGGAGTTCTTATGAGATCTGGTTGTTTAAAATTGTGTAGCGCCTCCCTCTTTGCTCTTTTCCTCCTACTCTGGTCGTGTGAAGTGCTGGCTCCCTGATCCCCTTCCACCATGGTTATAAGTTTCCTGAGGCCTTCCCAGAAGCCGAGCTGATGCTGCCTTTCTTCCTCTGTAGCCTGCAGAACCCTGCATTAGCCAGTTAAACCTCTTTATAAATTATCCATACTCAGGTATTTCTTTATAGCAATGCAGAAATGGACTAATACACTTATCAATCTATATTTTTGTTTTTTAAAAAACTAAGTCTCACGTTCTATATTTATTTTATAAACTAAAAAAAAGACCTTTTCATAATTTTGTTTACGCATAAAAACAGGTTACTGTGCTAACCACCCAATGGCATACAGCTCCCTCTCTGAAAATTGACTGACATTTCTATACTAGTTACAGCTGTATTGTTGCTCTAGTATGCCCTTCAAATGATAACATTTATTGAGATGATCCATCTTGGCCAGGCACCTGTAATCCCAGTACTTTGGGGGCCAAGGCTGGTGGATTACTTGAGGCCACGAGTTTGAGACCAGCCTGACCAACACAGTGAAACGCTGTCTCTACTAAAAATGCAAAAAATTAGTTGGCATGGCATGGTGGTGCATGCCTGTAATCCCAGCTACGCAGGAGACTGAGGTACAAGAATCCCTTAAACCTGGGAGGCTGAGATCACACCACTGCACTTCAGCCTGGGTGACAGAATGAGCCACTGTCTCAGAAAAATAAAAATGGAAGGAAGAAAGGGAAGGAGGGAAGAAGGAAGGGAAATGTACTCCAGCTGGGTGACAGAGCGAGACTATGTCTCAAAAAAAAAAAAAAAAAAAAAGGAAGGAAGAAATGTAAATCAATCAATATTTTCTAAATAATTTTTTAAAAAATTTCTGGAGTTATATTTTTAACATTTTCATCTTCAGAGATTCCAACATTCAAGATTATGTCTTTCTGGATTATGATCAATTCCTGTCCTTAGTGCATGATCTCAGGATATACCAGATACTCGTTTTCATACATTGTTGGTGCTGCTAAACTTGAACAGTTGATTAAGGTGTTTCCAGAATTCTGTCTGCACTCTAAAATTATTTTCCCCTAAAAAGTTACTACTAAATAGTAGTAAAATTTTCACCAAATGGTGAAAAATTGAGATATTCCAACTCATTCTGTGTTTATTTCTTGGCATTGTACTCTACGAAAAAGCTTTCCATGTTTTTTTTATTTTTATGGATAGAGGGGTGGGAGGAGGAGTCGGGGATAGAGGGGTAGAGAATGGAGGGTAGGGAAGAGATGGGGTTAGAGGGGCGGGGATAGAGGAGTGGGGATAGAGGGATAGGCGATAGAGGGGTGGAGAGCATGTATATTATTTATATGTTTATGCCAGTGTGGACTTGTGAATTCTTATTATATGAATGAGTTCCCATCTACTACTGTTATTATGTATTTTGATTCTCTGATTTTCTCAGGTTTTGCCAGTAAAATCCTCTTCAAGAAGTCTCCTCTTGCCTTTTGGCTCCTGTTCATCTATGAGCTCTTTGTGCAATGGTTTACTTTCTGATACTGTATGATCCAAGTTCATTGGGTATTTTCCCTGCCCTAGCCATGAGATCAGATATTTCTCCTAGGACTTCTGGTTTCTATTTGTGGAAAATGTAGTTAGAAACAAAGAACTGAAAAATAACAAAATAACAGAAAAAAGAAAAAGAAACAAAGAACTGAGTGCTAGTTGTGATTGCTGCTACCTTGGTATTATTCTTGACCCCCTCAGCTGACAAAACTAGGAAATATTTACTTTTTTTTTTTTTTTTTTTTTTTTTTTTACTTTTTTACTCTTGTTGTCCAAGCTGGAGTGCAATGACGTGATCTTAGCTCACTGCAACCTTCACCTCCCAGATTCCAGCAATTCTCCTGCCTGAGCCTCCTAAGTAGCTGGGATTATAGGCATGCACGACCATGCCTAACTTTGTATTTTTAGTGCGAAGGGGTTTCACCTGTTGGCCAGGCTCGTCCCAAACATCTGACCTCAAGTGATCTGCCCACCTTGGCCCGGCCTTTTTTTTGGTAGCATCAGAGTCTCACCATGTTACTGAGGCTGGTCTCAAACTTCTAGACTCAAGCGATCCTCTCGCCTCAGGCTTTTTCCACTTTTTATACTGCTATTGATGTGTAGTTATTATGATGTAGATCTATGATAATTAGAAAATATATATATATATTTTTTTGATTTTTTTAATCCACCTGGGTGCAAGTGGGAAAAGGGCGTTAGCCTGGAAAATATATTTTTATGGTGTCAAACTTTTACATTTAGTAAGACTTGTTTTGTGGCCTAATATATGGTCTTGAAGAATGTTTCATGGGCAATTGAGAAAATGTGTATTTTGTTTTTGGGTGGAGAGTTGTGTATATGTCTATTAGGTTGAACTGGTGTATAATGTTCTTCCTTATTTATCTTATTTATCTTTTGTCTGGGTGTCCTATGCATTTGAAAGTAAGGTAAGGAGTCTCTTACCATTATCGGAGAGCTGTATATTTCTCCATTTGATTCTGTCAGTATTTACATTTTATATTTCAGAACTCTGACGTTTGGTGCATATATATTTATAACTGTTTCATCTTCTTAGTGAAATAAACCTTTAGCAATATTTATTGCCTCACTTAACAGTTTCTGACTTAAAATCTAATTTATCTGTTATTAGTATGACCACCTGTGCTATTATTTTTTACATGGAATACCCTTTTCCATCATTTGCCTTTCACCTATGCATGTTATTAATTCTAATGTGCAAAGCATATAATTAGATACTGTCTTTTCAATCATTTTGCCAATCTACAACTTTTTATTGAGGAGTTTCATTTATTACACTTAATTATACATAGGTAAGAACTCCAATTTTAAATTTGTTTTTTATTTCCTTCATTACTATTGTCCTTTGTGTTGAGTTCTTTTCTTTTAGTGATACATTTTGAATCACTTCTTTTTTTTGAGATGGAGTCTCCCTCCATCATCAGATGTCTGGAGTGCAGTGGCACGATCTTGGCTTACTATAACCTGTGACTCCTTGGTTCAAGCGATTCTCCTGCCTCAGCCTCCCGAGCAGCTGTGACTACAGTCGTGAGCCACCACACCCAGCTAGTTTTTTCTGTTGTTTTTGTCTTTATGTATTTTTTGTAGAGATGGGGTTTCACCATGTTGGCCAGACTGATCTCCAACTCCTGACCTCAAGTGATCCGCCTGCTTTGGCTTCCCAAAATGCTGGGATTGCAGGCATGAGCCACCGCATCTGGCCAGAGAAATCCACTGATAATATTACTGAGGATCTCTTGTACATGACAAGTCACTTTCATGTTGCTGCTTTCAAGATGTTCCTTTGTCTTTTTTATTATAATATATCTCAGTGTGAGTCTCAAAGTAGGATAAACTCTTCAAGTGGTTTATCCTACTTGAAGTTCATTAAGATTCTTGGATTTGCAGATCCATGTGTTTCTCAAATTTGAGAAGTTTTTAGTGCTTTAGTTAAATAAGCTTTCCATCCCTTTCTCTCTTCATCTAGGACTCCTATAAAGCATACATTGGTTCAGCCTGGGTGACAGAGCAAGACTCTGTCTCAAAAAGACTGCAGGCCATAGTTTTCTAATACTATGTGCACAAAAAGTTAATATAACAGGCCTGAGACTGCAAATTCTAGAAAGGACTGCTTACAAGACTGGCTTTTAGCTGGTGTTAGGAAACATGGGGTTTGAGAGGGTTGTCACCATTCCATAACTGGTAGGCATGGTTCAAGTTATTTTGAACACTTGCTCCCCTTCTTGGAGTCTAGAGTTTTGATCT